TGTGTGTGTGTGTGTGTGTGTGCTTATGTGTGCGCGCATGAGTGAGTCACAACGAATTGCTAAAGGGCTATTTTATATTTTCTGCTTTGCCTCCGACTGTTTCCTTTTGTCATGTTTAGGTCTTCGGTTAATATGATGTTGTTATTGGTATTTTAGGGGGAAACCCGTTAACGCAAAATATATACTTTGGTTGCAGTTAATGAAGGTTTTTTTATTATTTTATTATTTCTCTTTGACAAAACACATTTTTGTTTTTTTCTGTGTAATGTTACTTTGATGCACTAAGTGCCGCTGTTGGTCAGTGTGTTTGAGATTTAAACATTGGTTTTTAGATCCTCCTCCACTTTCTGACATCACATTCTGCAGAATATCTCTTTCGTTCAGACGATCTCTGTTTAACACTGAAGCATCCAGACATTCCCTGTGTTTTCGGATGACGTTTGATATTTTTCAACCTTTCTGAATCTTTTGTTTGTTCGACTTTTCTTCTGTAGTGGGCCAGAGGATTTGGATTATGTCGGTTCTTTGTTGTTTTTACGCCCAAAGTGGCGCATCTTCGACGCGGATTTCATCATGGCTAATGCAGCCTCTCGTGCTGTGCGTCTTTGTCATGACCGTTGCGCGCGGGCAGGTCCGTTATTCTGTTCCAGAGGAGATGACAAAGGGCTCGCTGGTGGGAAATATTGTTCAGGATCTCGGTTTGGATGTAAAGAGGCTGAAATCTGGTCGAGCGCGGATCTTTACGGAGGACAGTCGTGAGTACATCGGTCTGAATGTGGATAAAGGGACTCTGCTAGTGAAAGAGAGGATAGATAGAGAGGAGCTGTGCGCCCAAGTGTCTCCCTGCTCCTTACATTTTCAAGTCATTCTAGAAAACCCCATGGAGCTGCATAGAATCGATGTAGAAATATTAGATATAAATGATCATGCTCCAGTTTTCATGAACAAAGAGATACATCTTCAAATTAGTGAATTAGCGATACCTGGAGCCAGATACTCAATCGATAGCGCTGATGATGCTGACGAGGGTTTAAATTCGCTTCAGACGTATAAGTTAAATCCAACCGATCATTTTGTGCTCAAAACCTTGTCTCACACTGACGGTACTAAATATGTCGAAATGGTCTTACAGACTCCATTAGACAGAGAAAAACAGGAGGAGTATAATCTGATTTTAACCGCGTTTGACGGTGGATCCCCCCAGAAAACGGGAACCTTAAAAATTAACATTATTGTCTTGGATGCAAATGACAACGCGCCTGTTTTTAGTCAGTCTGTATATACAGCACTTGTAGCTGAAAATGCGTCAATGGGATCATTAGTCTTAAAGGTTAGTGCAACTGACGCAGATCAAGGAACAAATAAACAAGTTTCCTATTCATTTTCCCAAAGTAGCAAAGGCATCTCAAATATTTTTAATGTCGATCCTTCTTACGGTGATATATTAATCACTGGCCTTCTAGACTTTGAAAAAAACAAGAAATATGAATTATTATCCACCTCTTTACGCAGACGTAGGGGGCACAGGAACTTTACAGCACGTGTACAATTATGAGGTTTGCAGAACCACTGACTCCAGAAAGAGTGATCTGAAATACGGCAGACCTTGCAGTGAAAGCATCATTAGTCTGGACAGCAGCGGAACACAGACACTCACGCATGCGCAAAGAGGAAAACTGAATGACGATTCTTTTGATCAGGTGAGCTCGAGTGAATGATCATGACTATGACTTTCTAGTTTCCATTTATATATAATTTTATCTTTCTGGCTTCATCGCTTTTATGGTTGTGCACTGTACTTCATTTATGTATTTATTATTATTATTATTTAGATTTGTATTAGACATTGCTGTTGTTGAAATTTACCGATAATAGGAGATGCCTCGGATTAGTGACCATACATTTTTCACACTTCAAGTCAAAACCATAACCTTTCTATGTTTTATATATAAAAATAAATAATACATACACAGTCCTGTTTTCATTTTCATTTTGCCAGTTGCACTCAGATATTAGTTTTTTTATCTTTTAAATTTTGCTAATTTGTGTACACAATGAATCGTACCTGATCTACTTAAGGGCTATATTATATTTTCTGCTTTGCTATTAACTATTTTCCTTTCATCATATTTTAAGTGTTCGTTTCAAAGCATCATGAATTAATATTACAGCAAAATGCTGCCTTAACGCAAGGTACGTATATACTAGTCGCAATTCATGTCATTATCTGTATTGCTCCTTATCAGTGTTTATTTATTTATTAATTGTAATGTTTCTCTGATGCACTAAGTGCCGCTGTTGGTCAGTATTTTCGGGCTTTAAGCACTCATTTTTAGATCATCCTCTAATTTCTGACATCACATTCTGCAGAATCTTTCTTTCATTCAGAGGATCTCTTCTTTACATCATCGATACATTCGCTGCCTTGTATTTTCGGATTAACTTTTATATTTTCAACCTTTCTGAATCAATTGTTCATCTTTTTTTCTTCAGTGAATAGAACATTTGGATTATGTCGGTTCTTCCTTGTTTTTACGCCCAAAGAGGCGCATCTTCGACGCGGATTTCATCATGGCTAATCAGTTAAATGCTACAGATGGAGACGCGAGCGGATGTTTTACAAATCTGGAGCGAATCTTCCAGTTATTCCGTATTATCCACCTCTTTACGCAGACGTAGGGGGCACAGGAACTTTACAGCACGTGTACAATTATGAGGTTTGCAGAACCACTGACTCCAGAAAGAGTGATCTGAAATACGGCAGACCTTGCAGTGAAAGCATCATTAGTCTGGACAGCAGCGGAACACAGACACTCACGCATGCGCAAAGAGGAAAACTGAATGACGATTCTTTTGATCAGGTGAGCTCGAGTGAATCGTTATAAATATTTTTTTTTACGTTTTAACTGAAAAATTTAACTGTCAATTGCTTGTTCTGATTTAATATTAATATTTTAGTGTGTATGTGTTTACAAACGGGTGCGTCCCAATGAATCACGCCATACCTTAACTTTTAAGTCGTTAAGTAAACAAGTAATCCAATCTAACATTTGTGTTAAAAATAATTTATTATTATTATCATTATTTCTTTCCATTTTTAATACGATTTGCTCTGTATCAAACAGTTTTTCAACGCAATATTTATTTTATACTCTATGTGCCGCTGTTGGTCAGTATGTAGAGCTTTTTTAAACAGCTTTTCATAGATCCTCCTCCACTTTCTGACATCATACAGTCTGCAGAATATCTCTTTCATTTCACACGGTCTCTCTCTAACATTAGATGGTTGAACCATCGATTGACTCTTCTTTTAACATCACTGATATTTTACATCCTTTCTAAGTCTTTTTGTGAAAGAAGATTTGGATTATGTGGGTGCTTTGTTTTTACGCCCAAAGTGGCGCATCTTCGACGCGGATTTCATCATGGCTAATGCAGCCTCTCGTGCTGTGCGTCTTTGTCATGGCCGTTGTGCGCGGGCAGGTCCGTTATTCTGTTCCAGAGGAGATGACAAAGGGCTCGCTGGTGGGAAATATTGTTCAGGATCTCGGTTTGGATGTAAAGAGGCTGAAATCTGGTCGAGCGCGGATCTTTACGGAGGACAGTCGTGAGTACATCGGTCTGAATGTGGATAAAGGGACTCTGCTAGTGAAAGAGAGGATAGATAGAGAGGAGCTGTGCGCCCAAGTGTCTCCCTGCTCCTTACATTTTCAAATCATTCTAGAAAACCCCATGGAGCTCCATAGAATTGATGTAGAAATATTAGATATAAATGATCATGCTCCTGTTTTTAATAGAAAAGAGATCAACTTTCAAATTAGCGAGTTTGCCGTTCCCGGTGCTCGCTTTTCATTAGACAGTGCGCATGATCCTGATGTTGGATTAAATACGCTTCAAAGGTACACTCTAATGCCAACTGATTATTTTTCATTAAAAGAACAATCGCGCAATGATGGTACAAAATACGTTGAAATGGTTTTGCAATCGCCGTTAGACAGGGAGAGAGAAGAGGAACTTAAACTGACCTTGACGGCGTTTGATGGAGGGAGCCCTCAAAAATCTGGTACAATTAAGATAGATGTCACAGTAATTGATGTAAACGACAACACACCCGTGTTCAGTCAGTCAGTATACAGAGTTTCTTTAGCAGAAAATGCAGCGATAGGTAAAGGAGTGCTAACAGTACGTGCTACAGACAAAGACAAAGGAGCGAATGGTGAGGTAACATATTCATTTTCACAAAGCTCTGGGAAAGACTTAGACCTTTTTAGAATTGATCAGAACACTGGGGAAATTTGCGTAAATGGCTTGTTGGACTATGAAAGATCGAAGCAATATGAACTGAATCTTGAGGCCATAGATAAGGGAGGCCTAACAGATAATAGTAAAGTGCTTATTGAATTGACTGACGTTAATGACAATGCACCTGTTATCAGCATTATCTCATTTTCCAGTCCCATCCCAGAGGACTCCATTCCAGGCACAGTGATAGCGATGCTGAACATTAAAGATATAGACTCCGGTAAAAACGGCCAATTTAAATGCTTAGTTAATTCAGATTTGCCATTTGGCATTAAATCTTCCTCTTCAAATTTCTACACTTTAGTTACTGATCAGATTTTAGACCGTGAAAAAATGTCGGAATATAATATCACAATAACAGCTATTGATGAGGGCTCACCCTCTTTCTCTACTAATAAAACACTGACTCTGAAAATATCTGATGTCAATGACAACGCCCCTGTGTTTCAGCGTCAGTCATACACCGCATATGTGATGGAAAATAATTCACCCGGAGTCTCTGTTTTATCTGTTAAAGCGCATGACAGAGACTCTGGTAATAACGCGCGTATTTCATATTTTCTAGAAGATATTCTCGTGAATGGCGTCTCTGCCTCGACGTTTATTTCAGTGAATGCAGAGAGCGGAGAGATTCTTGCTGTTCGTTCGTTTGATTATGAGCAAACAAAAGAATTTAGCATTCGCGTAAAAGCGCAGGACGGAGGAAATCCTCCTCTCAGCAGCAACGTGAGCGTGAAAATAACGATTCAGGACCAGAATGACAACGCGCCTCAGGTTCTGTATCCGGTCCAGTCAGGCGCTTCTGTGGTGGCTGAAATAGTGCCTCGTTCTGCAGATGTGGGTTATCTGGTGACTAAAGTGGTGGCTGTTGATGTGGACTCTGGACAGAATGCCTGGCTCTCATATAAACTGCAGAAAGCCACTGACAGAGCGCTGTTTGAAGTGGACTTACAGAATGGAGAAATAAGAACTGTGCGCCAAGTGACAGATAAAGATGCTGTGAAACAAAGACTCACTGTTGTAGTGGAGGACAACGGGAAGCCCTCTCGATCAGCTACAATCAATGTTAACGTGGCGGTGGCGGACAGCTTCCCTGAAGTGCTCTCGGAGTTCACTGACTTTACGCACGACAAGGACTACAATGACAACCTGACTTTCTATCTGGTCTTGGCCTTGGCTGTAGTTTCGTTTCTCTTTATCGTGTCTATCATCGCCATTCTGTCAGTCAAATGCTACAGATGGAGACGCGAGCGGATGTTTTACAAAGCTGGAGCGAATCTTCCAGTTATTCCGTATTATCCACCTCTTTACGCAGACGTAGGGGGCACAGGAACTTTACAGCACGTGTACAATTATGAGGTTTGCAGAACCACTGACTCCAGAAAGAGTGATCTGAAATACGGCAGACCTTGCAGTGAAAGCATCATTAGTCTGGACAGCAGTGGAACACAGACACTCACGCATGCGCAAAGAGCAAAACTGAATAATGAAGATTCTTTTGATCAGGTGAGCTCGAGTGAATGATCCTGAATGACTTTTTGGTGTCCATTTATTATTACTGGCTGCATCTGTTTTATGGTTGTATACTGTACTTATTCTATTTTTTTATTTATAATGAAAGAAATATCAGTTGTTTAATAGTTAATAGTAGTTGTAATATACTTTACAGATAACATTTTGCAGACTACATTTTTTAATACTTTATCAAAACTATTACCTTTCAATGTTTTATAGAAAATTAGATACAGACATGGACTTTTTTGTTATATATTTTTCATTTTCACTCAGTCAAGTTACAGTTTTTTTAGTGTATGCATGACTGAGTCGCAATTAATCGTACCTGTATTGCTGAAAGGCTACATTGTAGTTTCTGCTTTGCTTCTGACCATTTTCTTTTCCTCATATTCTAGGTGTTCTTTTCAAAACACAATTTTATTTATAGTTCAGCAAAATTCTGCCTTAACGCAAAATAAATACTACTTTGGTCGCAGTTCATTGTCTCTTTAAAAGTATTTTTTTAGTGTAATGTTTCTCTGATGCACTAAGTGCCGCTGTTGGTCAGTATGTTCGGGCTTTAATCACTCATTTTTAGATCCTCCTCTACTTTCTGACATCACATTCTGCAGAATATCTCTTTCATTCAGACGATCTCCTCTTTACACTAAAGCACCCAGACATTCACTGACTTGTATTTTCGGATTAACTTTGATTTTTGTTTTCACATTTTCTGAATCATCAGTTTTGAATATTTTC